AGTGAAAGAACAAATCCATGAATGACTTTGCAATGCATGCATAGTCAATTCCACTTTAAAAATCCGGGTTTATATTTTCAGAAGTATTTACAAATGTTATAAACTATTCCATCAAACCCTCAACTCCTAATCACTCCTTTTCACTCTGACACGAAAAACTTGTAAGATATTCTATTGAATATTCATTTGCATTAATACATTAAGACATTTATTTTTTAGTATACCTGCAATATATTTCTGGTTTGAAATATATCTATTTACTGATTATTGGAGATTACTGTGTCCGAAATAAGGAGCCCGACCAACGAACCTATTGATCAAAGAACCTACTGAGTACTGACAAACCAACTAACCTACCAACCAACCAACCAACCAACCAACCAACTGACCAACCAACCAATTGACTAACCAGCCAACCTAACAAAATATTATCAACGCCCACCTAAATTTTTAATAGTCTGCAGCAAAGCTGTGTTTAAAAGAATAAGTTCCTTACGTTTCAATTTAATTTTTTAAAGAGCCACATATTTTGAACTCGATTAATTCCATAAACTGTGTTATTGTAACTGTGATTTTCATTTAAAACTGGTTTCAGAAAATCAAATATTAACACCTAAAAATTAAATCACGTGTTTTCAGGATTTTATTGTGGGTCCAATACAAGGGAATAAAGAGGTAAATATCTTTAAAATATATTTGTATTTGTAAAATTTTTAATATTTACAAATTTAGATGTCTTATGTGTTGACTAGAAAATCAAAATGGTGTTACTTTAATAAGGTATATTTCCATCAAATACATATGACTTAAAATTCTCTATTTTTTGTTATATCATAAAATGTTGCTAATTTTTATACCATTATAATGAATTTGCTAAAATATTTAAAATCTACATTTTTCCTTTGCAAAATTTATAATTCTAATCGGCCATAAACCGTCTCTGGAAATGGAAACAAAAAATACTTTAGGAATACAAATCACTTTTTAAAAGAAAATCGTTTTTTAGAAAATTTAAGTCACAATTCCTTTTCTCCCTAACGCAATGCCAGCATTTTAAATAGTTCAGTTTAGACAATTTTAACTCATTATTCGGACTGTTATTGTTATGTTTCTTGAGATGGGACCTATTATTGCTACAATTATCACTAAGTAGCTATAATCAACAGTGACCATTTAGTAAATATAGAGTGGTATGTTTATATCACAACGGTATCCTTTACATATCTATCTGAATAGCAATGTGGAAGATATTGACATTTTTCTATCTTAAACATTCTCGCATTTTCCTTCATTTTCCTTCGTTCTCTGTGCAGCATATATCCGCAAGTAACTTTAACGGCAAAACCACAATTGAGAACAATCAATGTTTAGCAAAACAATAATGATATTTCATTCATTCTTGGTCAGACAAGGTTTCAATGGTACTGTTGTGAGTCGGGCATGCCTGTTTTCTATAAAAATGGAGAGTTACTTGAAATTATGTAAACCGTCTCTTTAATCAGTTTTAATAAATCCAGAAATCTGAATGTAGAGCTGTAAAGCATGTTAGTAAATTGAAACCTTTATCTGTGGAAAATTATGTTATTTGCCTAACTTGAGAAGTGTTTAATTCTGATAATTCTGATAATTGTTTTTTCTGAAGCAGCATTGCGCAAGTAACTTTCGTTGAGAAACCACTATTGAAGTTATTTAGTTTTCAAAATTTTAAACATGGAAATTTAATTCCAAGCTTTTGAGGTATAGTTGGGATTCGAACATTCCAGTTAACAAATTAAATTATTTGAGATTACTTGCAAATTACGTCTACAGAGTACAGACCCTTTGAGTAACTGCTTGTATTTTCATTTTCCCCTTCATAGAGAATTTATCGTCGATTTTTCAAAGCTTCTGTGAGTGAACACAAAGTTTCTGCCACAAACGCTGATTTTCAAATTTCTATTTCTTTACAATCCAATGTTGTAGACCTTAGAATATTTCAAACTTTAGATTCAGTTAAATTAAAACGTTTAAATTTAAAACATCAAAGGTTTACACCATAGATTAATTAAAATAACAGATAGGACACTACGTGTCGTCTTTTCAAGATGTAGGCAGTGTCGATCCTTTGGGCTTCTGCCTCATGGTTATTGTGAACGAAATACCCCTAAATCTTGAAAAGACGACATCTAGTGTCCTATCTGTTATTTTAATTAATTTATGGTTTATATAAAAATGATTTTCCCATTATGAAAAAATGTTAATAAATGATTTTAAAGATGTTTAATAAAAAAATTATTTAAGGGCTTTTTAAAAAAGTTTGTGGTAATACGTAGAGAGAGAAAATTGAAATAAATCAGTGGTTTTGAAGAAGCTAGGTTAACATCAGAGAGTACCTCTTTCTTTTTTTGAGAAAAAAAAACACAATGTTGGAAAAGAAAAAGTTTGATTGAAAGGGAAAAAATCATCAAAAATGTAGAGGCTAATATTTTTTTTGGAAAATTTATTCTAAAACTACTAAGCGCGTCCCTTTAACCATGGTTAAACCCACTTTAACCCTAGGTAGACCTATGGTTAAAAATCCGAGCTGCGCTGATGCCGCAAAATATTACCATAATTTTACCCATGGTTAAAATTAACCATGGTTAGAAAAATCTGTCGTCTTCATACATTCTACCATGGTTAGAATCTGATTTAACCATGGCTTGAGTTTCCACCTCAGGTTGCAAAGGGATTAGAAAATTCAAGTTTATGCTTTGTGGCAAAAACTCAATTTTGTTTGCCTAGCTTTAATGACTGAATACCAATAAAACAATTTTTTCCATAATATTGAAAAACCTCTAGGATTAAGATGTTTTTATTTAGTGCCAAAATAACATTTACACCAACAGCAGCTTGTTCTCCCAGGACGATCTGATTCCTTCAAAAGTTATTAATTCACAGTTAGAGAATAAGTTAACAATCAAATATGATATTAAAAATTATGATACTTAACCAAAATCAACTGTATGACCAGAGACCGAATTTAAAGAATTTCAACCGCGTCTAGATGCAGTGGGCTACAGCTTGAAATTTTAATAAGTGTTACGAGATTTGAGCCGGTGTTTAATAGGAACCGGTTATTTGCGGTTCAGCGACTCGGTTCAAATTCTTTAAATTCGGCCTAATATTTTGATACATTTTCTGTATTTGTTCATGTATCATACTGAAATACATAAATAAACGTCTTGTTGTATTCATTCATCCAGGTAAATTTTGTGAGCATTCAATAATAAAAATCTTTTATTTTTATATTTGGTTCAAATGTCATGCCAATTGCATCAAAATCTAATTTTTATCATCCTTATATCCTGAAGGCTAAATTGGTTTTCCAATTATCTCTTGTATCTTTGATTTTTGTATAAAACGTTGCATGTTTTCACCTTTATTCTGAAGAAAAATTTAAATCAATAATATTTTTTAAAACCAACAGTTTAAATGTCTCATATATGCACTCAATCAAATCTGATTCCCACTCTTTCGTGGAAAATAAAGACCAAGAGTCACGAGGTCGCAATGTCGTACCAGTAATTCCGTATTTTTAATTTTTTCTTATGCCTTATATAATTTTGAGTGATATAGTCTATAATTAAAATGGTTTACGATAAACAGGTTTATTTTAGTTGCCTGAAATCAAGAATGTTAAAAAAAATGAAAAAGTTAAAAAGTTATTTTTTTGGGGGTATAGCCATGTAAATAAAACTTGCATTTTTTTATTAATTTTCAACCAGCTGACAAATCCAGACACATCAAGAGGTTATAGCCCAATGCATATGCAGGATATCTATAAAAATATGGATTTTATAAGAAAACATTTTTAAAAACTTACTTATTTACATATTTTCTATTTTCCCGTTTCAAAAATGACGATTAGCAAGCTTTGTCTGTTGAATAAATGGCCCTCAGACAAAATATGAATGTGTGTAACTGTAAACCGTATAGATGGCCCTCTAGTGTTATACCACCTGTATACAGCCTCCACAGGCAATTGCAGCTGTCAAAGGCCTAGTTATGCCTGGGTTTCAGGCAGTCAATAGTCCTACTGCTGACACGGTTCCATTAGTTAAACCAACTTAGACAAAAACTGTTATGTACATAATATATTGTCCTGTATTTATGTACATAATATAGTGTACTGTATTTATGTACATAATATAGTGTAATGAGCCCAAAACTTAAGATAGGGTATCGTTATGAAAACCAGTTTTAAAACCCGGGTTTTACGAAAGGGTTTAGGCAGTTTTGTGGATATCAATATTCTTGAAATGAAATATTATTTTTTTCAGTTTGTTTATATTCTCTTTTTTTCGAATCTCTTAAATCAAAATCTACAAAATGTTAAGACCCCAAAAAGAAAACTCGAGAGTTTCGTTCAACGATAATCTTTTAAATTTCGGGCTCTGTAGTTATCATGATGCAGTGATGTTGTTCATTTTTGAAGAGAAGCTCCAAGAAAAGTTCAAAATAAAATTGTTAAACCGACTTTATAGTTTTAGGCTTGTTTTTAATTGCGTAATTTATATATATACAGGGTGTCCCACGAAACATGACAGTTGGTAAATAGTTTAGAATGTCTTCTTTCAGAATTTTTTAAACTGTTTCATACCAAAGACAATAATAAAAATATTAAATAGGAATCATATTATAGTAGAATTAATTTCAAAGTAAAATATATATCAGCAATAGATCTCTAACACAGGTTATGGAAGACGACATTCAAAACTTTTCACCAATTTGTTCACTACAGTTGAGATTGTAAGGAGTGACTTTTTTCGCATACAAACATAAATCACGGTTTTCGCACCTCGTGTAATTCTTTACCCTCCCCTTCCTACAGGTTCGTGGTAGCCTGCGTAGGATTAATCCTGCCTCTATCTAAAATTATTAATAGAGCTTGAATCCATATTCCAATCATCCAGGGCCGGGGACAATAAACTTCCATTTCTGGTCCCAAATGAGATCGGGCTTAAAAGTACAAATAGGGGCATTAAAATATACTTTCTGTATCATTGTGAACTTTAATGAACTTTAGAAATGTGTACTGCACTTGAGGTGTTAAAATATATCATGTATCAGTAATAAAAAGAAATAAATTGTGATTTACAGAAAAAATAACACTCCCATGCAGTGGATGTTCTGTAATCTGAAGTATGGTATTTTACAACTTATACAACTTGACATCATAATTCCAATTGTTTACAACAACGACATGGTTAGTTTTGCCTCTAATATCAATCTATCAAAGATGTAATTATGTAATTATATGGACCCCTGTATTCCATGTGTTTTCAGGTCCGATATATGATTAGATTATGACGTAATCGTGGGAACATTGAACAAGTGTTTTTAATCTATTTTATGACAAACATCAGTTAAAGTTAGATATATGTATTTATAAAAGGGGTTGAATAGAGATATCATTGAATAACACTGTTGTGTATTCATCTAACCTCGTCAAAATTATAGTATACTGGTATCCTGGTAGGTGTGTGTTAATATCAAATAAATACAGTGCGAAACAGAAAACTTTGGAATAAATAATGTTGTCTTTTGTTTTCAACTTTTACTTATTAAATGTCCCTACAAAAGTTGTAATTTACCAACTGAAACATCCCAAGTGCAGTTTTTTAGAAATAGTTGAAAAACCGTTAAAGACATTTCATAATTTTAAAAAAATTTTAAATCTTTCATCCAGTAAAACATCCGTTCAGTAAAAGTAAAAATTTGTTAAGATAGTTTTTTCTCAGTAGTACGTTCAGAAAAATCATTTGTTCAGTTAAGAATAATATTTTTTTTCAAAATTTCGTTCAAAAGATTCGTTTGTTCTGACAAACGGTTATGAAATGTTTTATTAAAATGCGAATCATAGTTAACGATTTTTAATTGTTCGTTTTTAAAAACGATGGTTTTTTAAAATTCTCTGATTCGTTCGTTCATCGTTCGTTAATTTTTTTAAATGGCCCCATCGTCAACGAAAATTTCGTTCATTTTGAACAATTTTGGCATCAGAACATTTTATACAGTACCTGGAATAATATAAATTGATGACTTCAACTCAAAGTCGCCTTTTACCCTTAGAAAAAGTTTGCGGCATTCAAGCTAGGTAACCAGTTTTAGAAATATATTTTAATGGAACAATAATCACATAATAGCCCTAGTTCTTTTCCAAAATGTGGTCTGCTATTTTGTGCTTTTATAATTACCTTAGACATTTTCATGGTTTTATCCAATAAGTTGGGATTTAAACCAAGTTCTTAATATCTCTCGTATTTTTGAGAGCAAAAAATGACAGACCTCACTTTGCAAATGGCATGCAGGGTTAGGGCTTTTTTTATTATTATTTCATAAAATAAACTATTGCTAAAAACAAGTTAGCTGAATGTTGAATGCCGTAAGCTTTTTAGGGTCAAAAACGCATTTGAATTTATCAATCAATTCATATTATTCCGGGTTATTTAGAACATTATTGCACTACATTTTTGTTGAGATAATACTAGTGAATAATTTCAGAACAATGAAATTATTGGCGATAGATAGAACTTTTGGATGATTTTTTAGATTAAGAGAAGTTACTAAACAGAATAAAGGTAAAGGTACTCTCTGAAGAAGTTCATCTATCTATATAGAAAAGCACTTTGTTCAAAAATAGAAAATTCTTTTCAAAATTCGATTTAAAAATTCCACAGGCAAAGCCGCTAGTGTAACATACAAATAAACACAACTTCTTTAATAAGTTGCCCTGAAAATTAAAGTTTTCAATTCTTAGAAGATTCATTCTTTCATTCATATTTTCTTTCATTCATTCATTCCTATCATTTGTTCACAAACTCTTTTTGTATCGTTAATTCACGATTCTAAAAAGAATCGTTCATCAAAAAATTTTAATCATTCTTGAACGATAAAGTCCTCTTTATTTTTTTTGATAAAAATGTAAGAAAAAAAATAAAAGAACAGAAAACATCACACGTAAAAATTATATTCTAAAAAGTTTGAATTTAAAATATTTATTTTTGAAATAAGTTTAGTTTTTGGGTTTTAAACTTGAATTAAAGTTTTAGATTAATATTTATTTATGCTATACTGTGCTTTTTAAAAAAAGACGATTGCAATATTAAAGATTTTAGTTAATTGAAGGCGACGTTTCTCAAGGGTTTTTTATACATACAGGGTGTCCCACGAAACATTACAGTAGCGTCTTTGATTTTTAATATAATTTGCTGATTTGATAAAATTTTGAAGTCAACGCCAGAGAATCTCAGGCGTTAATAATACATATAAGAGATCTATCTGATGTTCCTGTCTCGAGGAATTTATATAAAACTGTGTCAAATATATACGAAAATTCATATATATACAATTTTGTATAAAAGTTGTAGTATTAAACAGATCATATTCAGCAAATACGCAACCAATCTGAAAACGACGATATCCCACAGGAGCCTGAGAATATTAGGTTTACTCTTATTATAATTTTTTTATTTTGCATTTTTAATAGATATAATTAATAATATAATTACATATAGTCCGTATAGTCCGTATTACGTCACCAGAACTTCAGCCAATGGCAAAGCAGTATCATTGTCACGTGATACAGGCGGAAATTGCGTGAAAGTCAGACTACATTTTTGAAATCCCGGGAATAGAAGAATTGTAAATTTACAATTTACAAATTAGTTTTTTCAATATTATAATAATGTCATTATACACTTGGGAATTTACAATTTACAAATTACAATTTACAAAATAATGCCATTAGTTACGTCAATATACACTTAAGCATTCACAATTTACAATTTTTTCTAGTTTAGTCAATATCAAAAAATTGTCATTTTACACTTAGGCATTTACAATTTACAGTTTACAATTTAGAAATTAGTTTAATCAAAATGTAATTATTGCCATTACACGCTTAGGCATTTACTATTTACAATATAATGCCATTACATTAAAGGCATTTACAATTTACAATTTACAATTTACAAAATATTGCCATTACACAATTAACCATTTACAATTTAGAAATTAGTTTTGTCAATAATATATTATTGCCATTATACGCTTAGGTATTTACAATTCACAATTTACAATTTACAAATCCTTCTTTTTCTAGCACATTTGTGTCCATAAATTATATAAAAATTACAATTTACATATATATGACAATTTACAAATGACAAAGGAACATTACACTGGTCTCATACTGAGCCTCTAATAATGGTTTACAATTTTCCCAATTTCTGGAATTAGTTTGGTTGGTTTACATTTCTTCCAATATCTTGAATCACTTTGGTTGGTTTGCATTTCTCCCAATATCTTGAATTAGTTTGGTTGGTTTACATTTCTCCCAATATCTTGAATCACTTTGGTTGGTTTACATTTCTCCCAATATCTTGAATTAGTTTGGTTGGTTTACATTTCTCCCAATATCTTGAATTAGTTTGGTTGGCTTACATTTCTCCCAATATCTTGAATTAGTTTGGTTGGTTTACAATTCTCCTAAGATCTTGAATTAGTTTGGTTGGTTTACATTTCTCCCAATATCTTGAATCACTTTGGTTGGTTTACATTTCTCCTAATATCTTGAATTAGTTTGGTTGGTTTACATTTCTCCTAATATCTTGAATTAGTTTGGTTGGTTTACATTTCTCCCAATATCTTGAATTAGTTTGGTTGGTTTACATTTCTCCCAATATCTTGATTTAGTTTGGTTGGTTTACATTTCTCCCAATATCTTGAATTAGTTTGGTTGGTTTACATTTCTCCCAATATCTTGAATCTCTTTGAATGGTTTACATTTCTCACAATATGTTAATTCACTTTGGTTGGTTTTTATTTCTACCAACTTCTTGAATCACTTTGGTTGGTTTACATTTTTCCCAAAATCTCTAATCACTTTGGTTGGTTTACATTTCTCACAATATGTTAATTCACTTTGGTTGGTTTACATTTCTACCAACATCTTGAATCAATTTGGTTGGTTTACACTTCTCACAATATCTTGAATTAGTTTGGTTGGTTTACATTTCTCCCAATATCTTGAATCACTTTGGTTGGTTTACATTTCTTCCAATATCTTGAATCACTTTGGTTGGTTTACATTTCTACCAATATCTTGAATCTCTTTGGTTGGTTTACATTTCTCCAAATATCTTGAATCACTTTGGTTGGTTTACATTTTTCCCAATATCTTGAATTACTTTGATTGGTTTACATTTTTCCCAATATCTTGAATCACTTTGATTTGTATACATTTCTCCCAAAATCTGAAACCCCTATGGTAGTTATATATATATCCCGAAATCTCAAACCACTATGGTTGGTTTAATTTCCATAAAGCACTGAGAAGCTTTCTGTTTTAATTAAATATTCTTAAAAATTCTAAATAAAAAACTAACTTATTTGTAGATGTGGGTTCTGGAGCCAATGCAGAAAGTTATCCTAATTGCTGTATCATCTGCTGTGCTTGGAGCAGGAGCAATCGTTCTCATCATCTTAGCAATATCATACAGATACAGAGGGAGCAAAGGTAGATACAAGGGGAACAAAGGTAGATACAGAGGGAGCAAAGGTAGATACAAGGGGAGCAAAGGTAGATACAAGGGGAGCAAAGTTAGATACAAGGGGAGCATAGGTAGATACAGAGGGAGCAAAGTAGATACAAGGGGAGTAAAGGTAGATACAAAGGAGCAAAGGTAGAAACAAGGGGAGCAAAGGTAGATACAGAGGGAGGAAAGGTAGATACAAGGGAGCAAAGGTAGATACAAGAGGAGTACAGGTAGATACAGAGGGAGCAAAGTAGATACAAGGGGAGTAAAGGTAGATACAAGGGGAGCAAAGGTAGATACAGAGGTAGCAAAGGTAGATACAAAGGAGCAAAGGTAGATACAAGGGGAGCAAAGGTAGATACAAGGGGAGCAAAGGTAGATACAAGGGGAGCAAAGGTAGATACAAGGGGAGCAAAGGTAGATACAAGGGGAGCAAAGGTAGATACAAGGGGAGCAAAGGTAGATACAAGGGGAGCAAAGGTAGATACAAGGGGAGCAAAGGTAGATACAAGGGGAGCAAAGGTAGATACAAGGGGAGCAAAGGTAGATACAAGGGGAGCAAAGGTAGATACAAGGGGAGCAAAGGTAGATACAAGGGGAGCAAAGGTAGATACAAGGGGAGCAAAGGTAGATACAAGGGGAGCAAAGGTAGATACAAGGGGAGCAAAGGTAGATACAAGGGGAGCAAAGGTAGATACAAGGGGAGCAAAGGTAGATACAAGGGGAGCAAAGGTAGATACAAGGGGAGCAAAGGTAGATACAAGGGGAGCAAAGGTAGATACAGGGGGAGCAAAGGTAGATACAGATGGAGCAAAGGTAGATACAAGGGGATCAAAGGTAGATTCAGAGGAAACAAAGGTAGATACAAGGGGAGCAAAGGTAGATACAGGGGAGATACAAAGGAGCAAAGGTAGATACAAGGGAAGCAAAGGTAGATACAGAAGGAGGAAAGGTAGATACAAGGGAGCAAAGGTAGATACAAGGGGAGTATAGGTAGATACAGAGGGAGCAAAGTAGATACAAGGGGAGTAAAGGTAGATACAAGGGGAGCAAAGTCAGATACAGAGGTAGCAAAGGTATTTACAAGGGAGAAAAGGTAGATACAAGGGGAGCAAAGGTAGATACAAGGGAGCAAAGGTAGATACAATGGGAGCAAAGGTAGATACAGAGGTAGCAAAGGTAGATACAAAGGAGCAAAGGTAGATACAAGGGGAGCAAAGGTAGATACAAGGGAGCAAAGGTAGATACAAGGGGAGCAAAGGTAGATACAGAGGGAGCAAAGGTAGATACAGATGGAGCAAAGGTAGATACAAGGGGATCAAAGGTAGATTCAGAGGAAACAAAGGTAGATACAAGGGGAGCAAAGGAATATGGTATAGATGCTATAGATACAGTAGCCTGCTTTCTCTCAAGCAGAACGGACCTACTATGCAGTCCCAGAATTGCAGCTGGGGAAGCGCTGCACATTCAACTTTGATACAAGAAAAAAAATGAACTGCAACTTGGAATGCTTGTAATCCTTCTCATAACAATTTAAATGTGTACTAGGATGTTCAGGTTGCTCCACCCTAAATCCTACTTATCCAAAGATACAATTCGATTTAATGTTTACAGTAAATACATTTTACAGAAACATTTAGAAATGTCCAATGTTCAGTTGCCTTCGTTCTCTCAAGCAGAACGGACCTACTATGCAGTCCCAGAATTGCAGCTGGGGAAGCGCTGAGTTTAGTTACGCATCTAGTATGCTACAGGGGAAGCAAGAATTGTACATAGATTAAAACAAAACTTCATCTTCAGCTTGGTGCACTGAAAGAGGAGTTTAACCCCTGGTGGGAATACAAAGCATGCACAACGATACCGGTTTTTTACTCGACCAGATGTGAGGACTGGACTGCCATGGAAGATACCTCTCAAGAGAGCTTTTAGGGATCACAACTCCCCATTTTGCATATGGGGTGCAATTATGGGTAAGCTGAGTTGAAATATTACAAATTGCCTGGTCAGCTTTTTAAGAAAAGAAAAACAGACAATAAACTCAAAATGAATACAGGGCTCAGAAAAAAACAAGATCTTTTAAAATGGCCCTTCTTGTAAAAATGGCTAATTTACAAAAACATCCTTTTTTTCAAAATTAGAAGTTATATGATTGAAAGATGTATGAAAGATGAACAAGAAGAAAAAGAAGAAGAAATATAGAAATATCAAAATATTTTCATCTGATATCATATAAATATTCGAAATTATTGTAAAATTTAATTAAAAATATATTATTAAAGTTAAAAAGATGTTATAGATACAAGGAGAGCAAGGGTATATATTTCAGATACAAGGGAAGCAAAGTTATAACTATAATAGATAAAAGGGAAACAAAGGTATAGATATTTGTTGACTTTAAAAGTCATCATATTAAAACAAAGAGATCTAAAAGGATATTTCTTAACATTTATTTAAGAAAACAAAAGTTTTGAAATATTTGCCCTAGAAAGGGTTGGAAATTGGTTGGTTTAGAAATTAACAAAGAAAACTATTGACAAACATCAGTAGTAACATCATGGGAGCTTTGTAGAGCTTCATGTTGGTGGTGCAGATCAACTAGAACTTGAACAGCAGGTTTCCGCTCTCTCCAGGTTTCAGGTTTATCATTTTCTGGGCTTGAGCGATTATGATGTCTCTGAAAGCCACTCAATAATTGAGGAACTCTTGGAACATTATTGGGCTGGATGTAGGCATTGTATGTTGTTAGCTCGGTATCTGAATCATCATCATAAAGGAGTCAGGATTGAGACTGAGTTGTGAACGTCTTAAGTGTATCAAGCTGACTGACGCCACTACCCCTCTGAGTAGGCGGAGAAGGGGGGGGGGGTAGTAACGATAGTTCCACCTTGTTGAACAGGAAAAGGATCTTTTTATCGAGAGTCTTATGCGGTCAGCTGTAATACACAAGCGCTTCACCAAGAATCGTCTTCCTTATATTTCGAATTTGTGTTAACAATATTATAGATACATGGGAAACAAAGGTATTCCGGCAGAATTTGATCAAATTTTCTAATTTAGAGAAAGAAAGAGCAGTGTTGAATGGTTTAGTTTATGGGACTACTGGGAAGACTGGAGTCAAGTTAAAGCACTTTCAACAACAAGAGGTAAATTTTATTGAATCAGAGGGGCAGGGGCACTTAATCAGGCTTTCTTTTGAAAGCCTTTCTTTTTTCTGGACTTTAAAATAAAACAGTTTGCGCATTTTGCTGTTTTCATTGCAGTTGGCTTTCTAAAAAAAAATAATTTTGGAGTTCGAATATTTTTTATTTTTGACTAGCCAAAAGCCTGCCCCTTGATGATGTTAATGTGATGCCCGTTTAAATT